TTTTGTTCTCTCTCGTCGAGACAAAAATTTATAATTGAAGGTTTATTAATGAACACAGACAAGTTTCTATATAGAAATTTCTCATGAATTTCTCATGTATCGTGGGTATTCCGATCTGTGTCTGGCCGAGTTTGTCCCACGAAAAAACATTCTATTACGATACCAATTGGAAATGCTTACCTTTGTCTCACGTTCTCTATTTAGATCCGCAACAGAAGTTGTTCTGTGAGATTCTTTTGTAGTTGGTAAAGTTGGTGTAGAGTTTTATAAAGTCAATTAGAGAATTCTATTTTTATATTTACTATTGAATATATTTACTACTGAACAACAAAAGATTCAAAAATATGGAACACCTTGGGAGTATTTACACTTTTAAAATATTTATATTTGCACAGTATATATATATGCAAAGTGTTTCATACGTTTTTGTTTAATTCTAACGCGAAATGGAAGTCAGAATAAAATATTTGTGAGAACGTTAGGGAGAGTAAATGAAATTTGTTTGAGTTTCTCAATTAGAATCTCATATATTTGGAACATTATATTTTTCATCTGAATCTGCACATAAATTTCTCAACCAGAGTTTATAATGTTTTGGGAAATTAGACTAAATTTCAATTAGATCCTAAGAAATTTTGAGTAATTCTATCGAAACAAGAGAATTGTTAATCTCTAAACTTTTTGAAGTGAAATCTCACTTTAGACAAGCAAAAATTTATCCAATGCGACAGTAAAAATATTGTCACTCGTGATTATAAAAATGAATATTTAACTCAAACTATAGAAAGCGGATTCGTAGTCTATATCAGTCTATATCAGTAGTGAATATTACAGTTGATTGGAATGAGTTTGTGTCAATTGACGTTGAAACACATCAGAAATTCATTCTTTAATCTCAAATGAAAATATCCACTCGACGCTTAAAGAACGAAAGAATCCACAGAAGTGAAAAGTCGCTCGACTCCTCTGTCGTTCTACTTTCTGAGTGCAATTCCACTTGAAGAAATCCAAAGAGTAATCTCTTAAAGTAAATCACTAAAATTGTTTCTGAATCAGTACGAGTATTTCACCGGCAATCGGCGTATATTCACTGATTTCCAGTGGAAACACTTCCATTTTACTGCTTCATGTTGCATATCACTGATTTCGACCAATGGAGGTAAGATTCCACTGCAAAATCTGTAGTGCATAAATTCGTCACACGCTGTGCCAAATCCAACTTTTTGCGTTTGCGGTGATGGAATAACGGCTCCCATACGATTCGCGTGCAATGACGCTGTCTGTGTTTGTGAACTGCAATAATAGGAACAGTCGCTACTACATGAGAAAAAAATGCTGTTGTATTAGTAGAAATTGACAACAGCGCCGTAATTGTTATAAATCTTCTTGATTCAACAGCAGTGTTATTGAAACTAATACTTGAATTATCGAAAACAATACATTATGTATTGATTTTAATGTTATTACTGGTTAAATCAAAAGGATTTACTCCGATTATGGCGATGTTGACAATTTCTCTTGATACAACAGCATTTCTTTTCCGTGTATTAACCGGTTCACTGGTGAACTCGGAACCAACGTTTCGTGCCAAAATAGGTGAGAACAAAAAATTTCGCATTTTACATGAAAGCTTATCTAATAAGGGGTTTTTTGGGTAACTGATTACAAATTTGAGGTCAAATTTGTTCCGTTGCTTTTACCCAAAACTAATATCCTTTATATCGTTCATTATATCTCCAGGGTCAAATTTTCTCTAAAGTCAATTCTGAATATATTTTTATATTGTTTCATTTTATTTAATTTGAGGTCAAATTTATCCCGTTACTTTTACCCAAAACTAATATCCTTTATATCGTTCATTATATCTTCAGAGTCAAATTTTCTCTAAAGTCAATTCTGAATATATTTTTATATTGTTTTATTTTATAATTTATATTATAAAATTCATAATATTTCACTAGCTAATAACCCATACAGCACAAAATCTCTTGAGGACGTCCCACAGATTTCCTGAGGACGTAGAAACGTCCCCAGGATGATCTCAGAACGTCTCCTGGACGTCAATTTGTGCTGTTAGAGAACGGAGTATCCATGAAATCATACCGAATATCATACTGAGTTTATTCCGTATCTGTAATGGAATATCAAAGTTAGTCACTTGAAGCCGCCATATTGGATCCGCCATTTTAAATTTCTCAAATTTGACCTCGGATTCTTAATCAGCGATCCAAAAAACATGAGAGTAGCAAGTTCCATGCAAATCCGTTTAAAACTGGCGGAGATATACAGCGAACACATATATGTGTGTTTACCAGTTGTGGCACTTATTTTTCCTACACATACACTACTGTGCCCAAAAAGTAAGACCAATTTAAAATTTTTTTTTTAATCTTTATTTATTATTCCAAATCTATTTCGTCGCCTTCAAAGTAATCCCCCTCAGACACAATACACTTATGCCAACGTTTTTTCCAACCCTCGAAACAGTTGTTAAAGTCGATTTCCGGAATGGCCTTCAAAGCTTTCTTCGATTCAGCTTGTATCTCTTCAATCGAGTCAAAACGGCGTCCCCGGAGCGGTCTTTTGAGTTTAGGGAATAGCCAGAAGTCACACGGTGCTAAATCAGATGAATATGATGGTTGTGGAACGATATGGGTCGAATTTTTAGCGAAATGGTCTCGAAGAACCAATGCAGTGTGAGATGGTGGG